ATTTGTGTTTTCTTTTCAAGATTTATTATGGAATGTTGCATCAATTAACAGAATATCAATGGCTATCACTTTAAGTTTAAGATATTAAAAAAAAAAAAAGTCCCTCAGGGCTGGAGAGATGGTTAAGAGCACTGGCTGCTCTTCCAGAGGAAATGGGTTCAATTCCCAACACCCACTTGGCAACTCAAAACTGTCTATAACTCCAGTTCCAGGGAATCGGACAGCCTCACACAGACACACATGAAAGTAAAACATCGATGCACATAAAACAAAAATAAATAATTTTAAAAATGTCCCTCAAGGGACATCACCACCTATTGTAAATTTATAATGCTTTTTCAGTTGTATAAGGGATAGTTATGTGACGCTAGATGCAATCATGACATGGTTACTGTTTTCATTTGGAAATTAGGCATAGCATAAGAGAGGAAAACTGCGTGTCAAACTGACAAGGTGTGAGTTTAAAATGGCCACTCTTGTTTGTCGCTTTGACCCCATCTGGAGTTAACTAAAACCTGAATGACTGGGCACACCTGTGAGGAATTTTCTTTTTAATTAAATCATTTGAAGTAGGAAGACTCACTTTTGACATGTATTTTATTATTTGGGAATTTCACATAATGCGCTCCAGTCACCCTAACTTCCTAGTTTTCCCAGGTCTGCTCCCCACCCTGTTTCTTCTCCCCCCCAAAAAGATTTTAAACACCCAAACCAGGGCTGGAGAGGTGGCTCAGTGGTTAAGAGCACTGTCTGCTCTTCCAGAGGTCCTGAGTTCTTCAATTTCCACAACCACATGGCGGCTCACAGCCATCTCTACTGGGATCCAGTGCCCTCTTCTGACATGCAGGCGCACATGCAGATAGAGCACTCATCTACATAAAAGACAAAAGGAAATCTTTTTTTAAAAAGCCAGACCCCCCCCACCCCCCCAAAAAAAAGGTCCAATTTGTATTGTTCATATAGTCTCTGGAGCATGGTCAAAGTCCTGGTGGCCAGCCCTTAAAGAAAAGTGAGTCCTTCCCCGCCCCCACTACCCCCCCACCCATCAGCTTAGGAGAGCTACACTTCAGGATCCCTATCACAATTTTAAAGGTCTATTTATTTATTATTTTTAAAGGTCTATTTGTAGTGTTCTGCCTGCATGTACACTTGTATGCCAGAAGAGGGCGCCAGATCTCATTGTAGATGGTTATGAGCCACCATGTAGTTTCTGGGAATCAAACTCAAGACTTTTGGAAGAGCAGCCAGTGCTCTCAACCTCTGAGCCACCTCTCCAGGCCCCCTTATCACAAATTTTAAGATTTCTCTTTAATTTTTTTATTTTTTTGGGTCTAGGTTGTTACTTTGGGGGAGGGGTAGGAGATGTCACAGAATCCTTCTATGTCTCTTTCTCAACTCTGAGTCTGCAGTCATTGACACAGAGGTGCTGCAGAAGACGCTTCCTTGCCCTTAACAGTTAGCAGGAGCACAGATCGTGGTATCTGCTGACAGCACAGAGACAGCACCGACCATGGACATCCACCTGGCCTCTGACGTCAGCACTTGCCACAGACCTCAGCATGGTCTCTGGTGGCAGTATGGGCTATGGCACCACCACAGTCGTGGTGGTAGCCTGAACCACAGCAACATGGCTACACACAGCACTGCAGACTATGGACATCTGCTTGGGCAGGCCACAGACATCAACGTGACCTCCGGCTGCAACAGGACCACAAACCAAAACCTGGCCCCCAGCGGCGGCAGGGACCACGGCCTCAGGCAATAGTACAGGCCACGCCCATCAACACAGCCTCTTGGTAGTGGCTCAGGCCTCCGACATGGGTCAGCCTCTCTCCACCACATACACACTGCCTGCTCCATTCCTCCATCCTTCCCACCCCTCCAAAGCAAATTCACAGCAGCGGCACTGGAAACTTCAGCATGTCACTCAGTGTATTTTTTGCCCACACAGCTCTACATGCAAACACTCAAAGCCTCCGTTCTCTGAAGCGTCCTAAATACCAGACCATTGCTGGCATTGTTTTGATCACAGCCGTGCTTCAGGTTTTCATCTTCGGTGGCAATGACATGCTCCTGGATCTGGCTCTGCATCACTGGCTCAGCTCCTCCTCACAGTCCAGCAGCTCTTAGATGGAGTAGGTGTTGGGGTTGACTGACTCAAAGTGCTGGATCTGGGCCCAGATGGCTGTTGAGTAGTCGTTGGGCTCTCCTGGGCCCACTGGATGGCGGGCAGAAGACTTTTAATCTAGATTTTATTGTTGTTGTTTTGTTTTTCAACACAGGCTTTCTCTGTGTACCCTGGCTGTGCTGGAACTCTCTCTGTAGAGCAGGCTGGCCTCTGCCTCCCCGGTGCTGGGACTAAACGTGTGTGTCCCACCACTGGACTTAGTCCAGATCTTTGAGGTGGGAAGAGCCTTTAATCAGGGCGCACCTTCTACTAACAGCCTCTGTGAAGGACGGGGAAAGAAGCAACTTTTTGCCTGCTTGTCCTCACTCTAGAACAAATTCATTCCTTCACTGCCATTAGAGCCTGCTTCTTCAAGGTTCTGGCGCCTACTGCAGACCAGCTGAGACATCCAGACTCGTGGACTGAACAACTACAGGATCCTTGGACCTTCAGTTGCTAGATGACCATTGTTATGCGAGCTGGACCACAGCCTGTTAAGCCACTCCAATAATCCCCTTTATGTGGACGTGTGTGATTATGTATGTTAAATATAAGTATATACGTATGCACCTTGATATGCAATATATATTACAAATAGGTATACACACACATTAGTTCCTCTAGAGGATAAGATAAGCTGATACCCCGAGCCACCTACCATAACAAATGATGGGTTACCAAGACAACCTTGGGGAAGCACTCTGAAAGTCGCCTCCTGTCCTCAGCAGGTGTCAGGTGATTCCGGAGGCTCATAACTAGATGACACTAAAGTCAAACATAAGCAAGGCCTGGTGAAGCACAAGGCTCCATTGGTTTGTGTCAGTGGCTTCCTCCGCAGATCAAGGGTGGGCACAGAGCATGGGTGAGAGGCGCTAACTCACTCAGTTCCTGTAACCTCAGTCATTCTCTCTGGGATGTGTTTCCATATCCTAGAGCTCTTCCCCAGAGCCCCCCTACATTCCCATGCCTCAGGAACCCACTGAGCCTCACTTACTCTGCTCAGACCTAATCAGAGACAGTGCCTGCTGGCTCCCTGGGTCACACAGGCCCTGGGTTGGCACTCTGGAAGTAGCTGTAGCCTCCCCATTCACCACACCTGGCTCTTCAGGGATTTTGTGACTGGGCAAGTCATCTCCTCCTCTAACATAACCTTTCCCTGGAGAGAAATGTACCCTCCCTAGAATTCGGGATAGTTACCAGCCCCAGGACAGGCTTGCTCGTCTTCATCTGTGTTGTTCTAGCACAGGTGTCTTCTGGGAATGGCTCCCCAGGCTTTACAGCCTTTCGGAAGCTCCTCAGCACACAGGCTGACTTCTATCAACCTTTTCCTTAGGCACTCCAGCTTGCTGGGCAGTGGTGGCACAGACCTTTAATCCCAGCACTCAGGAAGCAGAGGCAGGTGTTTCTCTGTAAGTTCAAGGCCAGCCTGGGCTATAGTGCAAGTTCCAAGACAGGGCTACACAGAAAACAACAAAACAAAACAGAAACCCTGTCTAAAAAAAAAAAAAAACAAAAACAAAACAAACAAGCCAACATGAACTGGCCTAGACGGTAGGATTTTGTGAGCCTCAAGAAAGCCTGCAGTGGCAGGGAGGAGTGAAGAGATGATGGAGAGGTGGGGGAGGGTCCAGAGAGGCTCACACTTTAGCTGTGCTGTCTTGCTTCTGTCCCTGGCATAGCTGTGCTGTCTCCTTCTCTGCTTCCTGTTCTCATCTTTGCTCATTAAATGTTTGCATTGGAGCAGCCAATGGAGGTAGGAGCTGCGAGACCCAGTTCCCTCGCCAGAGCTGTGTGTTCCTGCTTTTCAGGGAGCAGAAAATGAGGAGGAGGCTGCAGAGAGAAGGCCCAGCTGTTCTCCCCTTCTGCCTCCGCTCTCGGAGGGGGAGAGGGAGGGGCTGCACTGTGAGGGCTGCAGCTGACCCCCGTGTTTGTCTGCAGTGAACTGTGATGAGCAGGGTGGACAGGCACGTCCACGGATAAACAGACACAGGTGGACATGGGAAGGGGAAGGTGTTCAGAGTGCGCAGTGTTTCACTCAAGAGGAGGAACAGCCCAAAGGCTAGGACCCATTGCCTCGTGTGTGTGTGTGTGTGTGTGTGTGTGTGTGTGTGTGTGTGTGGTATTGAGGGAAAAGAAGCTGGTCCACACCCTGCCCAAGTGTCCATTGATTGAAGAAAGTTGTGTGGTACCAGGAGGTCATGCTCCATCTCCAGGTCTCAAGGCATGCAGAGGACTTGGAACAGGCTGGAAACATGGGAATTCATAATAACAGAAGAAAGGAAGTGCTTTGAATGAGAAAAACTTTTTTTTTTTTTTCCTGTGTAGCCTTAGCTGTCCTGGAACTCACATGGTAGTCCAGGCTGGCCTTGAACACAGAGATCTGCCTAACTCTGCCTCCCAAGCTACACAGAGAAACCCTGTCTTCCTGTCTTGAAAACAACAAAAAGGAAATATAGAAGCCTGGCCTGGTGGTGGACGCCTGTAATCTCAGCACTCAGAAAGGCAGAGACAGGTGGAACTCTGTGAGTTCAAAGCCAGCCTGGTCTACAAAGTGAGTCCAGGACAGCCAAAGCTACACAGAGAAACCTTGTCTCAAAAAAACAGACAAAAAAGAAAGAAATACAGGCATTTTTATGCCACTGAAGACAATAAGCTTCCTATCAGCAGCATAGGTGTTGAGCTGTGTATAAATAAATCCTCAGGAGGAAAAAAAAATACATATATAAGAACATACACACACACACACACCTTGAGACTGAGATTCGACCCCATTGCTACAGCAATCAGATTGCACAGCAATCAGATTGTAATCAGACACAGACCTACACTCCTTTATAAAAACTTTATTGAAGGGAATGGGTGGAAAATGGAGGCGATGCCCCTGGAGTTGAATAAATAGAGAGCGAACCATACATACGTCCACCCCCGTGCTTGCGAGGCCCCGGGGGAGCCGAGCGCAGGCTCAAGAAGTTGTCAACTGGATGGCGAAGACCTCGCCATCTGCAGGGGACTCGGCGGTGCCAGGGGTCTCTGCTCCGCCTTCCGCGCCCGGTGGCCCTCCCGCGCCATTGAGACACACCGCCTCGCCCGAGCTCTCAGCCTCCTGGACGTTGTACTCGCCCTTCTTGCAAGCCGTGGACTGTACGTAGAAGGCGAGGCCGGCCCCCGCGGCCAGCAGCGCTGCGCCCCCTGCCGCACCGCCCACAGCGACCCATAGCCATGGACCTGTGGGCGCAGACCCTCGCCAGGGCGGGCCAGGCCCAGTCTCCCTAAGCCCTCCATGCACCTGTCCGATGGAAGAAGAGGACCCACGAAGGCCTCTCCAGCATCAGGGGAACCCCCAAATACCAATGTACACCCCTCTTAGGCCATGAGATTATAAGCCCTTGACTCCCTTCACTACTGACTCAACTCTCCTTATCGTCCCAAGGGGACAGACAGGAGGGACCGGCTCGGCTCACCTCTAGCTAGGACAGCCCCCAGCCCCCAAACAGTCATGAACTGGGGCCACCAACAACATCTCTGACCCCAGTTCCCCGCAGTGACACGGTGGAGAGTGAACTGGGCCCAGCGTTTCTTCGCTCCTAGCACCCGCTCCAATGGGACCTCCGACAAATCTGTCCTAGGAGTTCTTTAAGGTGAGTGTTTGAAATAAGGGTCTATGTGGCATAGGCTGGCCTTGAACCCCCTGTATGGCTGAGGATGACCTTAAGCTCAAGATCAGCAGCCTCCAGCTGCCAGGTGCTGGGACAAGAGGTGAGCGGCATTACCCTGGCTTGGGTCCATTCCCTCAGCCTTCGATTCCTTCCCCGCCTGTCACCACCGGCCCCACCCACGAGGCCCCCTTTGGTCTTGCAGGCAGAGTCGGGGTCAGTCACCCAAAAGCCCAGGTCACTTCTTGCTGCATGTTCCTCGTCCCACTTCCACCCCGGGAGCCACCACTCACCGGCCACGCGCACTGTGATGCGCCTCGTGTGGCGCCCATGCGCGTTGGTGGCTGCACACTCATACTCGCCGCCATGGCTGCCCACGGCGCCCGCCACGCTCAGAGTGCTGTTGTTGCTGGAGAGGCCGAGGTTGAGGGCCCCCGGGGGCGCGCGCCAGCTGATCTGAGCTGGAGGCCAGGCCTCTGCACGGCAGGTCAGAGTGAAGTTGCCTCCGGGCCGCACGCTGGAGGGCGAGGCCGCCAGCTCGGCCACGACAGGCCGGTCTGCGGGGGCGCGAGGAGGCTGCTTAGCACTCAAGCGTCCCCGCTGCCTCCCAAGACAGCCCCCAACCACCACCACCTAGCTGCTGTGGAAACAACAGGGCTTGAAGGGGACTGAGAAGTCCCTCTGAATCCCTGTGGGTTTGCTTTTACCCCCTCCCACGGCTGGGCTGGGGGTGGAGAGAGCCGGCGAGCAAGCCAGCCAGCGAACAAGCGACAGGGCCCATGGAATCTTGGAGGATGGGAAGCCCCTTCGTGGACCAAGCTGTCCTGGACGGAGAGCAAGCTGTCCTGGAACGGACATCTGCCTGACTCTGCCCCTCAAGGGTTAAAAATTAAAGCTCTGTGTGTGCTAGCTGAGCAGGCCACCCACTGGACTACGACCCCAGACCTCAAGGCTCGTTTCCGGCGGTCTGTGTCACCTCCCTCCAGCGTTATCCCCACTCACATTCCACCCCCACGGTGACCGTCCTCGAATCCGTGCCGTGCGCGTTGGTGGCCACGCAGTGGTAGGTCCCCGCGTCCTCCCTGGACACGAGCGGCCTCTCCAGCCTGGCGGCACCCTCCCGGGAGCAGAGCACCTGAGGAGAGGGGCGGCCCCTGGCACTGCAGGCCAGCGCGCTGGCCTCGGCTCCTTCCAGCCACGTCTGGTGACTCGGGCAGCCGGATTCGTCCAGCTGCGGTGGAGCTGCAGATCAACCAGCAGGAGGCGCATCAGGGAAAGCGGGGACCCTGGGACACCAGGACTTCCCGCCCACCCGACCCTCCTCCCCGCCCCCGCTCACACTCGGCGCTCACGACGACAGTTTTGACCGTGGAGCCGTGCCGGTTGGTGGCGTTGCAGAGGTAAATTCCTGGTGACAGGTTACTAGAGTTCATAGAGTTTCTAGGACCAGGGTTTGAGGACACGAGGGGCAGCACCGCCCCTTCGTTGGCGCCCTCGGAGCCCAGGCACTCCAAGCGTGGTTCTGGCTTCCCGTCAGCTTCACAGGAAAACAGCCTTCCAGATCCTTCCACCCACGTCCAGTTGCTGGGGCAGCCCACCTCCTCAAAACTGGGACCATCTAAGGGGCAGGGAAATAGGAGTTCATACCGAGGGCGGAGGAGTCCTGTGTGGGCCTCTCCCCAGCCACGCCCACTCACACTCCACCGTGACAGCCACAGTTTTGGCCGCTGAGCCTCTGGCGTTGATGGCTTCGCATCGGTAGGTGCCAGCGTGCTCCCTGGCCACGCGCAGCGGTCCTTCCATGACCTCCTCCTCCCCGGAGCGCACACAACTGACGCTAGGCGGTGGGACCCCGAGGGCCACACAGCTAAGCGATGCCTCTGTCCCCTCCAGCCAGGTAATACGTTCTGGGCAGCCTACGCTGTCCAGCGTTGGGGCATCTGGAACAGATTTTGTTTTTTGTTTTTAGAAACAAGATTTTTGTAAAGACCAGGCTGTCCTCGAACTCAGTGATCCACCTGCCTCTGCCTCCCAAGTGTTGGATTAAAGGCATGGGCCACCACCCAGCAGATCAGATTTTGTTTTTCAAGGCAGGATGTCATATAGCTCAGGCTAGCCTCGAACTCATGTAGCTGAGGACTGTCTTGAACTGAGCCTCCTGCCTGCTTCTCCCAGGATCTGGGCTTACGCCGTGCCTGTTTATGCCCTGTAGAGGAAGGAACCCAGGGCTTCATACCTGCTAAGCAAACACTCTACCAACTGAGCTGCAGCCCCAGGCCCAGGTTTGGATTGGAGACCCATCTGATGTTCCTAACGATCTTCTTTCTGCCTTCTGCTTCTAGAAAGGGTTTGGCAAGCTATATATAGGAAATCTCCACTCCCCCTCTATCTCCTTTTTTCCCCCGGTTTGTATTTTGAGACAGGGTTTCTGTGTATAGCCTTGGATGTCCTGGAACTTGCTCTGGAGACCCGGCTGGCCTCGAACTCACAAAGACCTGCTTGCCTCTGCCTCCTGAGTGCTGGGATTACAGGCCGGTGCCACCACCACTTGGTGGGAGACATCTCCTTAGCTCGGCTTGAACCATTTTATTTATTATTTATTTGTTTATTTAGCCTGTGTGATATGTGTGTAAAGGGGAGGCTCCCTCCTACCTTTCCTGACGTCTCAGAGTGTTTTTGAGTGATTCCCACAAAGTGCCTCTGGGACCTTCCCAGACACCGTCCTGACTGCCTGTTCTTGCCAGACATGACCAGTCACCACGACCAAGTTTATGAACAGCCTGCCACCTCCCTTCAACGTTTTCCCAGTTCCTGCTGGACCCGGGCCTCTTTCTCTTCCCTGTAGGCCAGCCTCCTGCGACTCTGAGAACCGAGAGAGATGAGCATGCACACCTCTCCCTACTCACACTCCACGGTCAGGGTCACGTCCTTGACCGCCCGGCCTTGGCCATTGACAGCTGTGCATCGGTAAGTGCCCGCGAGGGCGCGGGTCACCGGACCCAGCAGGCCCAGCGCCAGCACCGCCCCGCCGTCAGGCCTCGCGCAGTGCACAGAGGGCTCCGGGTTTCCACGGGCCTCGCAGTGGAGGGTCTGCTCTGGACCCTCTGGCCATGTCCAGTTTCTGGGACAATCCAGGTCATCCAGCCGGGGTGCGTCTGCGGGCATGAGGCGGAGGAGGTAGGATAAGGTGAAAGACGGGGCGGGCAATACGGTTCTTGGCGGGCACAGAGGTAACGTGCGCGCCCACTCACACAGGACACGGAGCTCGGCGCTCTGGTTCTTTCGCAGAGTCTCCCCGTCCACTTCGAGGGCGGCGTCGCAGAAGAAGCCCCGCTTGTCGTCGTTCTCCGTGACGTTTAACCGGAGCTCAGCGGGCTGCCCCGGGGCCGCAGCTGGAACTCCCTCCAAGGTGACAAGGGCTTGAGACCCTGCCCAGCAGCTCACGGTCACCGTCCTTCCCTCAGGAACTTCGGGCTCACTCAAAGTCAGAAGAGGGACGGGGAAGTCTGGGGGGCGGAGCATTGGGTGGGCTTCACCGGCCGCTCCCCTCCAGGCAACATCCCCGTCCACTCTTCCACCCGCTCCTGTCCCGGAACTCCCCGGCCCTGCCTGTTCCGACGCGGAGGTCCCACCCACTTCGTAGCTCCGCCTTCGTGGCTCCGCCCCCGCTGAAGCCCCGCCCCCGTCCCCCTTACTGTAGACGGTCAGGTTTTCCTGGGCCTCCCTGCTTTCGCCCCCGAGGGTCACGCTGCACTGCAGCTGTCTGGTGCCTTCCTGTTCGGCGCTTGCCGTAGCTGTGGCAGTGGCCACGAGGCTGTCCCCGTCGAGGGTCACATCCGGATGCAGCCTCTCATCTCCCAGCGAGAGTGAAACCTCGGCTTCTGGGGCAGGAAACAGCCCGTCCAAAGCGCAGCTCACCGGCCTTTCGGAGCCCACTTCTAAGAATCGGGGAGCCACCAGGCTCGGGGCAAGTGGAGGCAGGACTGGGGTAGACAAAGAACAGAGCTCGAGTGTATGCGTGGACCGAGCAATCTGCATGCATCCTAAAAATAGAGGAGCTGGTGGGACGGGTCGTCAGGCCTGTCACCTGACGACCTGATCCGGTCCCCGGAACCCACATGGTGGAAGGAGAGAACCACCTTCCACTTAAGTTATCCTCGAACCTCCACACACGCACCGTGGCCTGTGCGTAAACGCATGCGCACACGCTCTCCTTCTCAATAAATAAATGTAAAGCGGGGGGGCGGGGGGAGCAGAGTTAGTACTCCTGTTGAAGTCAGGGCTAGCTGCTAAAATTTTGGGTATCCTACTAGGTAGCCCTGGCTGTGTAGTCCAGGCTGAACTTGAACTCACAGTGATCCGCCTCCCTTCTGCTTCTGCCTGGGGAGGACTGGGACCCCGAGCCACCATGCCTGGCTGCCCCTAAACTTCTCAAAGCCTGTCCGTTAGGGTCCGCACTCACCAAAGGTGCGGAGCTGTCTGGGGGCCGAGCTGTTTGCAAAGAGCCCCAGGCCGTGTGGTCGCAGGTCGAGCTCCGCGAGGCAGGAGAAATTGGCCCCGTGGTCCTCCCTGCGCGCCAGGACCGTGGCGGTGAGCCCCGCGCCCCGCGCTCGGGGTGGCTCGCCCGCGAAGCTGCGGCGAGTCAGCTCCTGGGAGCCTCGCAGCAGGGTCAGCGTGAGGCTCGCTCGGGGTCCTGCTCCAGGGACCCTGCAGCCCAGCGTGAAGTTCTCACCCACGGGCTGCCAAGGAGGCAGCGGCACCAGCTCTACCCGATCCGGCCGCTCTGCAAGGGACCAAAACCTCGGTTCTACCCAGCTGTGGCGCTCCAGGGCTACGCTGGGGAAGAAGGGCCTGAGGACCCGGGGGGGGGGGGGGGGGGGGGGGGCGCGAAGGGGGGGGGCTCGGAGGGGCGGTCCGGGGACCCGAGGGGCGTGTCCACCCAGGACTCACGGAAAGTTCGAATGAGCCCGCGCGCCTGGAGGGTGCGGCGCGCGCAGCGGAAGAAGCAGACGGGCTGGGTCTCCGGCTCTCGGATGTCCACCAGCTGCCGAGCCAGCCAGCGCAGGCCCCTCTGGGTCCCGTTCCGGCGCAGCGAGGTCTCCAGGCCGCCGCGCTCCGGCCGCGGGCAATTAGTGCTGCAGTTGAGCCACAGCGAGCCCCCGCGCTCCACGAGAGCCACGCGGGGCTGGAGGTCCGCCCAGAAAGGTTCTGGAGCGACTGCTGCCCAGGAAAACGCTGGCTCAGCCTGGGGGGCCCTCTCTCTAAAAATCTTAGCGGCCCTCTATCCCAAACCAGGGGTGTCTGCAGGGACGAGGAGAGACCACCGCCGCGGGAGTCCCGCGTTCCCACGCAAGCTTCCGGGCTGGCGCACCCTCAGAGGCGCGTCTCTGGAAGTCTGGCTCCCTAAGGCAGAGATGGGGAAACTCGGTGCGGGGAGGATGGGGTCTCCGATGCACACGTCAACAGTGAGGAGGAGGAGACTCCGGCGGGGTGGGGGAGGGGGAAGCCAGTGACTCTTTAAGACCCCGACAGATCGTTAGGAAATGGGGGAGAGACACTGAGGTTAGGGGCAAAAAGCGAAGTCGAAATGAGACTGAGTCAAAGGCTTAAATGAGACTGTCCCCAAACTCGAGCAACTTGGGCTCCAAGCCACCAGGCTGGACTCCGGGGGGGGGACCGTGGGGAAAGCCCCAGAAAGCCGGTTGCTAGGGCCCCAGCTGGAGGGGGAGCAGAGTCTCTGAGTCATGACAGTTGAGGTGGGGGTCTTTGAGGACCATGAATTGGAGTGATGCCAGTCCGTGAACCACAGGGCACCACAGGGCAGGAGAGGACAGTAGAGCCACAGTGTCTCCTGAGCACTCCTGAGTTTGGGGTGCAAAACCCCGGATCCAGAAAAGGTGCTGGGTTCAGAGCTGATAGAGCGAGGTGTGTTGGGGTGGAGGGAGGACTGGGAGAAGCCCCAGGCTCCAGGTGGTGGCAGAAGCGTGGGAAGCGAGTAGAGGGCGGAGCCTGGAGGGGACACTGGGGCCGCCCTCTTGGGTCCTTCGATTCCGCCCCCGCCTTATCCACCTGGCTCCGCGGGCGGGCTCTTCTTACCTGAGATGCCGAGGATCCCCAAGGCCAGGGCAGCCCAGAGGCCGAGGGACGCTCGGTGTAGCCCTGGCGAAGGCCCCGGCATCGCCGCCGCTGCCGGGGAGGGGAGAGTGCAGGAGGCGAGCGGAACGCGAGCGATGGAGAGCCGGGCTGGGAGGACCTCACAGCGCAGCGGGTGGAGTGTGGGGGTGGCAGAATTGCGCCCAGGGATTGGTTTAAACGTTGGTAACTTGGTTTCCAAGGAGGGGGCGGCGACAGAGGCGGTGATGGGGGGCGAGCTGGCGGGAGGCGAGCGCGCCCTGGGGCTGCTCCCCGCCTTAGTGCAGGCGAGCTGGCCAGGCAAGAGCGGTCCCCCGGGGAGGAGGCGGTCTACGTGGAGGTCGGCCTAATAGTCTAGAGCCTTCTGGGGTCGACCATGCTTTCCCGCGTCATCCGTGGCGAAGGAGGGGAGGGATGCTGAGAGGCCCTGCCCAAATCTCCACCACCTTAGGTAGAGATTCTGAGGCAACGCGCTGAGGCTCCAAGCCACGCCCATCCTGGGCCCCTCCCACCGGCGCCCCTTGGAGCGAGGGCGGGGTGGTGAGGTTGCTCGGGTTAGCTTGGGGAGTCGTAGTAGGCAGGAAAGGTAAGGATGCCTCGGTTAATTGAAGCTTCTTTTTGACCTCCAGCAGACTGAGGCGGGGAGCCACGCCCCAGAGACCTCCTCCGCGCACGCGGCGAAGGAAGAGGAGCTCCAGTGCCAGCGAGTCTCCGACACGTGCGCGTGTGCGCAGCTTTCGCAGGCGTCTGATTTAGAGTCGACTTCGGCCCCAGATCTGTATTTACCCAGCGTGCAGCGGGAATGTGTCTACAACGCTGCAGTGAGCCGATTTTCTCAGGAGAGCATCCGTCCGCTCTTCTCCACCAGCACCGCCGCCTCGGCTAGTCCGAGATTCTGCAATCCAAGCTGGACTAGCAGATCAACTGGGGACACTTTTGACCTCGCATCTGACCTCAACCTTTGACACCCCTCCCACATGCCTACCTGTCTCGGTGACAACAAGCGCGTTTCCAGAATGCAAGTCTGTGACAGCCCTCATGGCCTGAGCAACGGTCTCTAATTCGCTGCTATGCTAGGTCCTATCTGGGTATCTGCTTTCGCTACTACTTTGGAGGAGGCCCCGCCCATTCTAGTGTTTTTCCCCTCCCCCATTAATGACAACCGCGAGCGACCGACTCTAGCTCCACCCGCTGGCCTCCGCTAGTAGTGAAAAGGGAGGGGGAAGAAGAGAAACTTAGCGTCCAGTCAGAGCGGCGGCGCGTGTCAGCGGAGCCAGTCAGAAAAAGCCATACTCAGAGCCAGCCCTTCCCCAAACCTGGAGAGGTCGCTTTAGCTCTTCTGCCCCGCAGGGAAAAAGAAAATAAAACTCTACGCTAAGAATGTTCTAGGGCCTCGAGCAGGTCTCGAAGGAGAAACTTCAGATGCCTTTAAACACACGCGGTGTTATTTCTACCAGTACCGGGCTTTGAAACCAAGGCCAGGCAAAGGTACTATTCCTGATCTACAAGTCTTCGGCCTCTAGACAAAGAACTTCGAGAAAGAAGGCTTTATTATTCCAACAGGAGTGTGACTGAATTAATTGCTCTGGACTTCTTTTCCCCTCCTTCTCGTCAGGCATCGAACATCTGTCTATAACTGTGTCTTCAGGGCCAGATACTTGCGCAAGGAAACAGTCCCCACAGCCAGGAGGACCCCCACCACGGCTGCGATGGAGGTAGAAGCCAAGGCTATCGCGGCTGGGCTCAAAGCTGGGAGCAAGAGTGAAAATCAGGATCCGGGAGGCCTGAGGACCGCCAAGCGCGGAGCCCACGCCTGTTCTGCAGGCCCTCGTGGAATGGCGGCACCCCCTCTCCCTCACCAGTCCCCCCACCCCCACCCCCATCCCACCCCCGGCGTTGCGGGTGCCTCACCCAGGACCGTCAGCATAACAGGTGCCGAGCTGCTGCTCACCACTAGCCCGTCGAGATTGAGGCGTGCATGGCAGGTGAGCGGTTGCAAGAGGTCGTTGGGTCCGGCCCGCATCACGTGGGTCAAAGTGACATTAGCCAGATAGGAGCTGGTGTAGCGCTCCAGACTTTCAAAATGAATCACCCGGCCACCTCTCCTCAGGCTCACCACCAAGAACCCCACGGGGAACACGTGTGTCACATAGCAGCGTAAAGTGTACTTGTGACCAACTAGGACGGGAGGCTCCAGGATCACGCTTCTGGGCGGTCCTGAGGCAAGGAAGGTAAGGCTGGAAGGCACCTATAAAGCAACTGCCAACTACCCCCTCCCTCCACCCTTCTCCCCTCACCCCCGCGCGGCCCGAGCCCCGTCTCCCTCACTGTAAGCGGTGATTCTGGCGGTGGCCTCCCGCGTCTCTCCCGCGCAGGTGACGACGCAGCGCACCTTGGAACTCCAGGCCCTCACATCCAGGAGCTGGTAAGACACCCAGCCGGATCCATTGTGTGTCGTTCCCTGGCGCAGCTGAGTGTGCAGGCTGGGACGCGCCGGCAGGGGGCAGCTGTGGCTGCAGTTAAGCCACACCGAGCCCCCGGGAGGCACCGCATGCAGCTCCGGACTGAGACGCACCCAGAAAGTTGCTGAGGTCACGGAAGGCACGGGAGAACTTTGCGTCCACTTATGTTCGGGGCTCCCACCCCTCGGGTAGAGGGCCACCAGCAAGAGCAACGGGAGCAGAAAGACAGACTCCATGGCACAAAGCCCACGCTTGGGTGCAGGACGGGCGCCAGGGAGCTTAGGCTGGCCGGGGAGATAAGAATGCTCCCTAGCCACACCCCAGAGGGTCCCCACCCCCTGAAGCTCTGTTGAAGATAACTGCCTCCTCTGCGAAATGACACATCAGACCCTACCATCAACCAAAAGTCATTACACTTTTCTGAACTGAGTTTCAGTTTTCACTTAAGCCCCAAAAGGTAATTTTTTTAAAATTTTTTTTTAATAACCGGGCAGTGGTGGTGCATGTCTAATCCCAGCCCTTGGAGAGGCAAAGGCAGTCGGACCTCTGTGAGTTTGAGGCCAGCCTGCTCTACAAAGAGTTCCAGAACAGCCAACACAGAGAAACCCTGTCTCAAACAAAACAAAACCCAACCCCCCCCCCACAAACAAACAAACAAAAACCCTGGGCTGGGGAGATGGCTCAGCTATTAAGAACACTGGCTTCTCTTCCAGAGGTCCTGAGCTCAGTTCCCAGCAACTATACGATGGCTCATGACCATCTATAAAAGGATCTGATGCCCTCTTCTGGCATGCAGGTGTATATGCAGGACAGAGAACTACATTAAAAAAAAAAAATACATAAATAAAGGAAACAAAAGGCAAGGGGGGGGGGGGGCTGCACCACAGACGCAGGGTTAGGTTCACAGGCAATTCTCGTGAGGAAGCGGAGGAGTCAGGAATACTTAGGAAGGGCTCGGGCTAAGTGAAGTGATGTCTGTGTGCAAACTCACAAGAGGCTGAGGCCAACATAAAACTTTATTGAGACAAGGAAAGGCTTCTGTGCTGGGAGGGGTGGCCCCCACGGCTCCCAGGACCCTCCAAAGTGGTTGCAGCATCTTGTTCCGGACTTCCTCTTGGGGGTGGGGCCATGCAGGGATTGACCATAATTTCGTGATCCTGAGACTCCACTGTTCATCTGCCAAGGCGGTGGCTGCCGCTGGGAACAAAGGCAAGAATGCCTGAGGGTGGGAGGTGGCTACCCATGCTGGGGGTCCAGGGTGTGGAGGCCTGGGGGGAGAGCACCCCTGCTGGTCCACACAGAATCCCGACCACGGGGGAAACCCTAGCCCTGTGTCCTCATTTCCCCAGGCTGCTGTTGCGTGTGCAGCCCTTGAAACAATGTCCAGACGGGAACCTGTATGTTCGGCGGCTCACCGCTCTAGCTCCTGTGCAGGGTACTCAATAAATAGCAGGTAAAACTGTGAATCAATAAATACATCATCACGAAGAGACGATGTCCAGCTTTCCTGTGTCTGTCAGAGGAAGTACGATCTCAGGCTTCTCCGACTCATGCTTGTGTCTCTTGGCTATCACTTCTTCCTCAGGCAGGGGCCCTCAGCACGGGCAGTAGGGAATGAAGTCAGCATTTCCTGGCTGAAGAACCACATGGCTGTGGGTGTGTCCAGATCACACACCCTCACAGTCTTGCCCGTCTGTTCTCCTCCTCTTAGGCCTGAGGCTTCGAGTTGTGAGGCAGGGGGATGTACGACCTGAGGCCACCATCCTGTCCTGTCACAGCCTGAGGAGGCGGGTGAGGGCAAATCTCTCTGTTCAAAATCAGCAGCTGCTGCCCCGCAAGGGGGGCCAGGGAGGTGTGGGTATCCTGGGGGCTCAGGGAGGTGGGGCTTGTGCCTTGAGTCTCATGGCCTCCTCCTGAGCCTTCTGTAGCTTGTATATCCTGATCTTCCTCTGGCGGTTATAAAGATAAAAGGCCCAGGCCCCAAGGCCCACAGTGGCCAGCAAGGTCAACAGAATGATGATGATGGCCAAGTTATTCTGGTGGTAGTCTGTGTCTGTGTGGTAGAGACAGAGGGACGGGTGAAGAGCTGAAGACCTGGCGCCTAGCCCACCCCTCCCCAGCCTCATATCCTGGGATACTCACAAAGCACCGTCAGGGAAACATCCCTGGTGACATTCCCATGGGAGCTCACAGCACGGCACACATAGGTACCAGTCATCTCTCGTCTGACATTCTCCACCTCCCCGATGGGCAGCAGGGCGCCATCTGCTTTCCGGCTGCAGGTCAGGTTGGGGGATGGGTTCCCCCAGGCTTGGCATTTCAGAGTCTGCTGAGACCCCTCTGGCCAGGTCCAGTTCCCCAGGCAGTCGCTCTCATCTAGCCGGGGACCGTCTGGAGAAAGAACAGGGGAAGGGACACAGGTCAGGGAGGGCTCGGAGCGGCGCGTAGGCCATCAGGGGCTGTCAGTCACTACCCTGCAGCCCCACTCACACAGCACATGGAGTTCCAGGGTCTGGTTCTTAAACAGCAGCCGCCCAGCCACCTCCAGGGCCGCAGAGCAAAGGAAGCTTCGATTGTGATCCTCGGCACTGGCGTTCAGCGTGAGCTGGACGCGCGCGGACGGTGGCCCCGGTGGAGCACCGCTCAGCCGCGCCTGCGCTCCGCCGTGGGCTTCACACTCCACAGTTACTTGGCTCCCTTCCGACACCTCCAGCTGGCTCAGGGTCAGGACCGGAGCTGGAAAGTCTAGGGGTGAAACACACCGTGAGGCCCCGCCCAGCGCAAGCCCCGCCCTTGGCCCCCCCCCCCCCCCCCCCCCCCCCCGTGCCAGTCTTCGCTTCTGAACGGGCTACCCCACCTACGCTGTCAGTTCCTCCCCTGAACTGGGTCTTCCCCAGCCAGTACCCCTCCTCTGGTGTCAGTCGGGTCTCCAGCACCCGCTATCCCTGAACTAAGGCCCACCCATTCTTACTGTAGATGCTCAAGTTCCTCTGCGCCTCCAGGCTCTGGCCTCCCAGCTCCAAAACACAGAGCAGCTGCTGGGTGGCGTCCGTCTCCTCAGTCACCTCCACCAAGGCGGTGGCTGACACAAAGTCTCTGCCGATCGTCATCTCGTGGGGCAGCATTCGGCCACCCAGTTCCAGGGATATCTGGGCTTCAGAGGCAGGAAACAGGCCTTCCAGGGAGCAGACCAACTTCTGCCTAGTGCCCACCTCCAGGAGGTCAGGGGCGTCCAGCTTCGGAATGGTCACAGGAAGTTCTTGGGAGAGAAGGAAGGCATGAGCCAGAGCCACGGCCATCCCCAACTCCCTTTTTCTTTCTTTTTATTCATTTCTTTACTGTGTGTACATGTGTATGTGACTCACTTGTGGAGGTCAAAGGTCAACTTTCAGGAGTCAGTTTTCTCCTTTGGAAGTTGAGCATTGGACTCGGGTCATCAAGCTTGGATGCAAGCCCCTTTGCCCACTGAGCCATCCCGCCAACCCCAAAACTTTCTCAGCACCTCTCATTAACCCACCAAAACCTGCGCAGGCAGAGGGCCTCACCGAAAGTCCGCAGCTGCCTGGCCACCGAGGCGTTGGAGAACAGCGCCAGTCCCTGCGGCCTGAGGTCCAGTTCTGTGCGGCATGAGAAACTGGCTCCGTGGTCGCCTCTACTGACCAGCACCGTGGTTGTGATCTCCTGGGGGTCCCCGGGTTGCCCTACTAGAGGCTTCGAGATCAGCGTCTCCTCCCCACGCAGCAGCGCTGCTGAGAGCTGAGCCCTCGGTGCCCCGCCTTCCACATGGCATCGAAGGGTGAGGTTCTTGCCCACCTGCTGCCAGGCCGGCAGAGGTTCCAGCTCCACACGGTCAGGAAACGCTGCAGGGAGACGGGGGTTGGGGATCCTCAGCTGGACTTCTGCAGACAGACCCACACCTGCCTGAGGACCTCAGTCTCGCCAGAACACACCCCACCACCTAAGCAGCCAGGAATGCAGAGAGCCTTGGGGAACGCTAGAGAGGAGGCCAGGAGTGTTTGCAGGAACATTGTCAGCCATTCCCAGTAGTGATATCTGAGAGGTGAAAAGAAACTCCAAACTCCATCACCAGCAAACTGTGCAAATAAATCGGACTGTAAGTAGCTGGGTGTGCTAGAGGTTGATCTGACTCTTCAGGACTGAGGGGCTGATGGCTCAGTCTTAGCCTACCAGGAGGCCCCAGGTTCCATTCCCACCCCCACAAATAAAATAAGATTAAATTAAATTAAAATGGGCCAACGAGATGGCTCAGTGGGTAAAAATGCTTGACACATAAGCCTGAGTATTTGAGTTCAAGCCCTGGATCCCAGGCCAGGTGTGGTGGTGCATGCCTTTAATCCCAGCAGAGGCAAACCATTTCTGAGTTTGATGCCAGCCTGGACTACAGAGTTCCAGGACAGCCAGGGCTGCACAGAGAAACCCTGTCTCAAAAACAAACAAACAGTAAGCCTGGCATGGTGGCACACACCTTTAATCTCAACACTCTGGAGGCAGAAAGACAGGCAGATCTCTGAGTCTGAGGCAAGCCTTGTCTATAGAGAAAACCAGACCAGCCAGGGCTACACAGAGAAACCCTGAAATAATAAAGATAAAAAATAAAAGCCAAGATGGTGGCATAGCCTGCAATCCCAGCAGAAGCAGAAGGATGGCAACTCCGAGCCCAGCACAGACTAAGAGAACCGAAGTATGAAAATTGAAGCCACACTTGTGTTAAAGTTTTCTACGAGACTAACTGATTTAAATCTTCATGATAATAGAGGGTTGGAATGTTGCCGACTCAGGGTCAATTCTGCGTTTTTGTGGTATCGTAGCTACTGGAGACCCTGTCCCCAAATTTAAGAGTTAAGGCTGCAGCCCAGTTGGTAAGACCCCTGCCTAGTGGGGGGCTGAGGGGACAGCTCTGTGGTGGAGCCCCAGCTCATCATAAAGCTTTGGCCTCCCTTCTCTTTCCAGTCTTAGTTTTCTTTGTTTGTTTCCTATATCTTTCCTTTTTTTTGGGGGGGGGGGTAGGAGCTCACACAGGGGAGTCAGCTTGGCCTCAGACCTGTCGCCATCCAGCCTCAGGTGCCTCTAGGGGCTGGGATTACAGGCCTACAGCTCCACATCCAGCATATAGTCTTCCTTTAGGAAAAGCTGCCTTTGATCGCAGCACTCAGGAGGCAGAGGAAGGCAGATTCTTGCGAGTTCAAGGCCACCCTGGAACTCTACAGCCTTCTAAGTCGTAGACACACATAGTGAGACCCTTGTTTTAGTATTCGGGAGCTAAAGGTGTTTGCCACCCAAGAATGATGACCTCAGTTCACTAGGAGGGTCCATATGGTGGAAGAGAAAACAGATTCCCAAAAGTTGACCTCTGAGGGCTTAGCTGGCTCAGTGGTTAAAAGCACTGGCAGGTCTCACAGAGGTCCAGCGCCTACGCCATGGCTCACAGGCTCAGAAAATCTGGCGCCCTCTTCTGGCCTCCTC